CATGGACTTCAACATTATTAAAGCACATTAGCACTACATAGGCTAAGCACAAACCAGCCAAACAAACTGTCATCATACTCACCAGATGATGCTAACTGTGAAGTTATCATGCTGTGCCACGTCACAATGTGTTACATAGTCCATTTAATCATATGCTACACCATGTATCCTTTCAACACCTTCTGAGGGGATAACATTCTGTAGATTATTATTATTATTTCAACACTAAGTAAATTAAAAAGGTACCGTAGAGGCTGTTTCTTTTGTAGGACTTTAACGGTATACAATCCTTTAGAATCACACAATGAAAAGCAAGGTATTGAATGTGTTCCTGTTTGAAAAAACACAAGACGTAGACTGTCAACAACACTGTCAACAATGGAAGACACACATTCTATGAGTATCCCTCCCTCTTCAACAACCAATTAACTGTATTGTAATGTTGCAGTCCAACAGGGGAATCATGCCCTTCAAACACGTGGAAAAAGATCATTCCAGTGATCACATGACGACTTTGCTATCAGAGTATGCTAGAAAGAAAAGTGACACGGTCATGGGCTATGAGTCTATTGCTTTCTCTCTAAACAACTCTTATCAGGTGCTTCATTCATTTCTATCTGCTATTGATACATTTGACTTTTCAGCTTCCTACAGGATTTAATATTTTTATCAACCTTTACTCTCATCAATAACTTATGAGACTCTATGACCTTCCTGTCAGTTTCACTATAGGACAGTTATCTAGTCCTGTCATGCTTTTCGAAGACACCATCATTAAACATTTATTCTGTTACCTTGCTCCAACCTTTTGGGGGTTTGTATGATAATGCAACCACCAGATTACCACACCACTTTACAACTAACATGCTGTAGCTGCTGTAGTCATATATAGAAAGTCAGTCTACCTAAGTATTCAATTGTCCATGGTAGGGTTTCATAATGACAGACAATGGATGCAGTGAATGTGACTGGCTGCTATTTCCTAAAGCTAGCCTCAGGCCAGTTGCCTAGACCCACACTCAGGACTAACAATATCCCAAGACATCAGGTCATTGTCCATTGCTACTGCATCTAAATGAGGGAATAGAAAGCTTCTGGTTACAAACATCCACATCCTTGTCTTCAGCATTTATTTAAATGCTGTGTTTCTCTCAACTGGTAAACTGCCAAATGTTTACACAATGAAAATTCATTATCTGGACTTGTTGCTTAGCCTGCAACAAAAAAAAAATTACAACCGCAGTGCCACTGCCATGACATACTGTAACCTGCACATCTACTAACAAGACTGGGTTAAAACCTAGTATATGGCTGGGTTGTGTTGTAGGCTATTTGCATTCTGCCAAGTGCCAGCCAGGTTCAGCCTTTTATGTTTGCTTCTCTCCTACTCTCTGTGCTCACACATACAGTATTTTAATACAGCCAAATTCCCAATACAGCTTTTGTCATTCACGTTTTCTGTTTTTGTTGTTAGGCAACTGAACGAGTATAGTATGAAATAGTGACTGAAATGCAGCACATTTAGGCCACACATTTGCCAGAAGCCATTTCCAAGCCATTTCCAAGCTAATGAATTGTCATAAAATCACAAAATCGTATGACAAAATCACCATATCTTATTCACACTATATTTACTTGTAAAATCATCACTCAGAGATGAAGTTAGAAGCTCATTCATGTCAGCTGACGTGTGGCCAATTGAATGAGAGGCATAAGCCCCTTTTACACATCCTGTTCAAGGTAGCAATGTTGCACCTTTATTCCGCCTTGCCGTCCTGTGTAAAAGGTACAAACACAGAAAGGGGGGGGGCATTGTTGTTACACCTCAAGGGTGTAAACAGGAGAGCCGGCTTGGTGGGACAGGACGTCGATGCTGCTGTGTTCCACATCATGCTTCTGATTCTGGAAAGCCGGCATGCTATCTAAAAATCACACACTGGAGCAGCATTATACCGGCTTTGTTTGGTTCAATGTAAACAAGCAAGGGCAGCATAATGAGGGGTTTTCTTAACGACCATATAGCTGATCTCTGTATAAAAGTGCCTATAGTGAGGTGTGCCTGTCGAAGGAAAGCTCGATGTTGCACTCGTGGGGCAATACAGGAGACTCTTCTACAGAAATTAGCTACGGTATGTCCAACCAGTGGTTAGATTTGCGGGTTTTTTTTCTAAGTCACTAAAGGGGTCTAAAAAGTTAATTCATCTAGCAACAAACGTGCTACATTTGATACACTGCTTATTTGCGCCAAGTCATTTTGAAAGAGCAATAACCAATGGGGAAACTGCAGCATTCAGATGACCAATGGCATAACTTCATCACTATAATGTCAGTCAGCGACATTCTTGTTCATAGGGCTGGCCATGCTGTTGTGGTCCAGCCAAACATTGCACCAGGAAACATCTTCCAAATACTCTTCCATGATTGTGACAGCACATACTACTGTCAATTTTGTCAATACTAAAGGCATCATTTATTTTCTTATTTGAAAAAATAAGTAGATTGTTTTTCAGTGGCAGGTTAAAGAATGAAGGTAAATATCTGAATAGATAAAGAATAGATAAAAAATCTGTTCATTTGTGTTAAATAAGGACACAAGCGATGTAGGTTAAAGTCAATTCAATTTACAGCCTATAGTGCTTCCTGCTTATGATTCTCAGATTGTTCAAAGGATAGAGTGGATGTGTCACTATGCACCCAATTTGGGTGGCTGAGATCCTTCCTATCCATTCTCTCCTAGATTTAAGATACATAATTTTGACAGGCTTGATCCAATTGCTGCAGTGGAGAATATCAGGCTGAGTCACTTCCATTAAAATCTAAGAGTCATAAAGAGGATCCAGTTTTTAAAAAAAGTCAGTCAATCCACTAAAACATGCACAAGGCTTTCAGAAGCTCCATCCTCTATGGTAAGTCAAAATATCCTCATGGTGATTTTTTTCCTTTCTAGCTGTCTTTGAATGTAGCCAATTTGCTGCTTTCAGACCTGAGGGAGCTTTATAGCACCCTATACTGCAGTTCTATGTTCAGTGTGAATAGATTTGCTCTGCTCACCTCAGTGAAATGGGGCTACAAGAAAAGGTTTGCCACTCATATGCAATGCCAAGCCCTTGTTCTTTGCCACATTGGGAGTTGAACTTCATGGTACAATTACTCCTGCTGCTCCATGGCAGGCTTCATTTACTTGAGGCTTGGGATATCACCATGGTTATCATTTGCATGGCCTGTTTGTTTAGGAGACTAGACATTTTTCAGCCACCATATAATGTTAAGGGTTATTCCATAAAGGCAGGCCTGTAAGTGGATGGGGGTGCTACAGTTTCACAGCCTTGACCAGCAAACCAAAATAATATTTTATCTTCCTGGCTTGGTAGGAACAATAGGTACAGAGCAATAAAACCACTAACAAGCCACTGTCCTCCTTAACCAGATGATGTAGGTTCAAATGCAATTCAGGATGTATAAGTACTGTGTTCTCTTTAGCAAAACACTACACACTACACACTACACACTCCTTACCAACTGCAGCCTTCTCCTCAAATTCAAATTTGCTTTACTGGCTTGACCACAGTTAAATACAACATTGGAGAGGCAAGTTGTACAAGCCTTCACTTTTTGTATGACCTCTCTTTGCCCTTCTCTATAGTTGTTCCTGACCTCTGACCTCCATGTGGCCTAAAGAAAAGGGTAACACGCATTTTCCAACAGGACTGGATTATACTAGAATTATCACTACAGGCCTGTCATAATATCACGCATCCATCTTCACAATTCATCTTTTGCCACCAACTAAATACGGTATCACAGTTTAATTCACATTTGTATGATTCTGTGATGCTCTAGTGTGTATGTCAGCCAACACAGCTGACCCACAAAACCCGCTTGTTGACTGTCGGCCCTACACCAGGAGGGCAGGTGCAGCAAGCGGACATCTCTTTATCGATTGGTTTCTAAATCTAATGTTTAAAGCTAATGTTAGTTAGCTGGTGGGCTAACTTAGTATAATGCAGCATTAAAGACAGAGCTAGCTGACAGCTAACGTTATATGACTGGCCCTGGGAGCAGCTACTTACTCAGTGGTCCTCCAGGTCCGAGGACCTGGTCTTTGGCAGGCGGAGTGCCGCTCTGTCGCTCGAAGTTGCCAGGGTTGGAGAAATAATCCCTCAGCCTTGGGAGCTCTCTGCCTGCTTCCAGCAGTTCGGTGTGAAACTCCAGGGCCGTGAGAATGTATTGGTCCCGTAATAGCTGAGCAGCAATGACATCCACTGATACTCGTGTCTCGGCGCTGCCTGCCATAGCGGACGTGGCCGCGGCCGAGACCGAGATGCCCTCACCGCTGGGGCTCGTCCGGTTGCCAGACAGCAGGAGCGTCGGAGGTTCAGCGTCCGCAGACGGGGAAAAAGGATTGCCTGGCGGCGGCCCTGGCGCTCCGTCACTCGGGCTTCTCTCTGTGTCAACTGTTTCATTAGGGCGCCGATCAGCCTCTTCCTCGGAATCACTGAGATTAAACGGGTTGACCGACGCCATTTTTGCACTATAAAGATTCTTAGCAACCCAAGTCAGCTAGGCTAATCAGACCCGCTTCTTCCTGAATGGATATTAAGCTAGCAAGGGTTTGATAGTAGCTTTGACAACAGGAAAGAATGCGAAGCTCTGATTGGTCGAATTTTACCAATGTTTCCCAAATGCCCGCCTTTTTCATGGGATACAACAAAATGATTGGATACTGGATACAGAAAGGAAAACTGGGCAGGGCACATTTGACAACACACAGCCTTCGCTAGCTAATATATTGTCAAAGAACAACAAGCTGTGAAAATTACAGTTTCCAGTGAGACTGCACTGTAACGGAAATTATTATATAATAAAAGCTTTGAGAGAGGGCAAATATAAAACAAAGCTCTCTGGGAAATAAACATCTTAACTACAGTACCCACAATTCAGCTGCAAAGTATACACGTTAACGTCAAACGTCAGTCACAACAAGGAAGTGAATGCGCATGGTACCTGAATTTCTTGAACTAATCTTCTTAAAAGACGGACAGTTGGTTTTGTAAAAGCACGCACTTACAGATTACGTTGATCTTGTTTCGTACAACAAGGCCTTAATCTGCCGGGATCTCCGTTTATATATAACTGGTCATTTACGAAGATAAATGGAAGCTAAATTAGTGTGCCTAACAGGTGAAATGTTGAAACTGTAGTAGATACTTTTGCTCTTCCATTCATTCATCAACGAGCCAATGTCGTCAGGTTTCATTGTCGGTTTCTGCTGACGTTACATACAGGTAAGACTATTTTCATGGTCTAAAGAACCAACTCATTTTCTGATTCACACTACTGTAAACAGATTTAATTACTGTTAGTCTGCTAGCTCAATGGTTACCATTGGAATGTTCAGAAAGAACTATTATTATTTATATATCATATATCATTGTTGCACAATGACTAGTGGCATATGGCGACAGAGGGATTATTCCTTAAGCAGTCTCTGCATGGCACATACTTTGTCCTAACCAGTCTATATTATGCTGAAACTTTCTACTACCTCCTTCTGTCTTTGAACCAAACTATTTGTCCTAAAAATAAAGTTAGACTGTGTAACTTCATATTTTCCTGCATCATTTTTATTTATAACGTCTTTATTTCTCTCTTCTTGTTCCGAACTTGTTTCACCCCCAGATACATGAAGTCTTTCTTCCTCTGTTTCAATTAACTCAATCCTGGTTGTTCTACAGGTTCAGCGTGGTGTTGACACTCAAAATGAGGATGATCACCTTCTTCCTGGTTGGTCTGACAGTCCACGTGATCTTCTTCCTTTCTATCTTTGACATCTACTTCACCTCACCCCTGGTTCATGGCATGACACCCCAGGCTACATCGCTGGCACCCCCTGCTTCCAGACTGGTGTTAGTGGTAGCCGATGGTCTCAGGGCAGACAGTCTCTTCACCTTACACCCCGATGGCTCATCCAGGGCCCCATATCTGAGGTTGGGAAACATATATAAGCTTCAGTGCGGTGTATTTGGATGGGTGTTAATTAGTCCAGTGGTGGAAGCAGTATGTATATTTGCAGTTAGTTTTTCTTGGGTGTATATGTTACCATCATACTGGGTAACTGTTGTTTGTGTATGCACATCTGTGTTTTTTCAAATATCAGGGGTGTGATAGAGGAGAGGGGCACCTGGGGGGTGTCACATACACGTGTACCCACTGAGTCTCGGCCTGGTCATGTTGCTCTCATTGCTGGCTTCTATGAGGATGTTAGTGCTGTTGCTAAAGGTAGGTGTGAATTTGTGCATGTTGATGAGTCCAATACAGAAAAATCTATGTGAAAGATTAATGAGTGGGAGTGTTTTGCTCTCATATTGTATGTTTCTGTATGCATCTGTGTGGGTCACTATTGTTGTGTCTGGTTGTGACTGCAAGGCCATTGATTTTTTTTTGTGTGTGTGTGTGTTTTCAGGCTGGAAGGAGAATCCTGTAGAGTTTGACTCAGTGTTTAATGAGAGCAGACACACCTGGTGTTGGGGCAGCCCTGATATTCTGCCTATGTTTGCCAAAGGTACACAAGCACTCACACTCTCACAAAAAATGCAAACACACGCATAAACATAATCAATATAAACAAAAGGTCACAGATAAAGTCTGTATCAAAATCAAAATTCAAATATGGTGACACATTTGTATATGTACATTAAGTTTATTTCACATTACTTATTTATATTTAGATATTTCAGGACAACACTTAAAAAATCCTTCTATTAAATCTCATGTCCTTACATCTGTTTTCCAGGTGCCAGTGGAGACCATGTTTACACCTACACATACCCAGCAGAGGAGGAGGACTTTGCCTCCACAGATGCCTCCAGGCTGGACAGCTGGGTGTTCTCTCAAGTCAAAGTATTGTAGTAGAAATACTAATGATAATTGAAATTAAAATTGAAATTAATTTATAAAGTAATACTTGTTTTTGCAGATTTAAAATAGTTTCTTTAGGCTTAAACTATTACTGGATTAAACACTTTTTTGTTTTAAAAAAGAAGCAGTCTGAACAGGAAGCATTGTATGCTGTGAACTCAACTCACTTCAACCTACATACCTTGTTCAGTGTCTTTATTTAACACCAATGAACAGATTTTTAACCTGCCAATAAAAATATGAATTTGTGGCTTTTACAGAAACTAAGCCAGTATTGGCCTGTGTAAAGTTCATGTTCCACTTTCATCTTCATTGTCACTTAATGCAGCAAGGTTGGCAGTTTGTCATGTTTATGTTATTTGTGGACAAATGATACATTTTCATGTAGCAAACCCTTTGGAAAATGTGAGGCCATTTGGAGTAGATTATAGCACAGTTGCTGTAAGCTTTATTCGAAAATACTGGTTAATGTACAATAATATATATATACATACATATATTGGTTTGGTACCATTCAACTATATTTATTTTTATTTTTCTTTCTTCAGTCATTCTTTCAATCAGCAAAGTCTAACTCAAGTCTGAAGGCCAGTCTTCTCGAGGATAAGAATGTCTTCTTCCTGCATCTGCTGGGCATTGACACAAATGGCCATGCTCACAGACCAATGTCACAGTAAGAGACATGTTTTTAAGCTTTCTTGTTTCCATTTATATTAAATTTGATTGCACTCTACATAACATCAAATGAAATTAACATATTTTTCCAGCATTCAATTAGGTGGTGATGTCTTGTATTTGTCTTTTGTGTATTTGTCTTTAGGGAGTACCTAGAAAATATTGGTCTAGTAGACACTGGTGTAGCTGAGATGGTGTCTCAAGTAGAAGACTTCTTTGGTTATGATGGCAGAACAGCTTATGTGTTCACCTCTGATCATGGCATGACAAACTGGGGTAAGACTCTTGTTTGTATATGTGTGCAGTTTTACCGTCTGCAAGTTGAAAAAAATGAAACTGATCTATTAATCACAATGTGAATTCATTGGAGTCTATATAGTATTTGTTAAAGTGTGTGAATATTTGCATTTGTGCTTGTTTTCTTTCTTGCATGCATCTCCAGGTTCCCACGGTGCAGGCCATCCTTCTGAGACGCTCACCCCTTTAGTGGTGTGGGGAGCTGGAGTTCATAGTGCCCAGAGAGTCACTGAATCCCAACCGTATGATGATGGATACCTACAAGGTACTAAACACTTGCACTGTGCTCACAGCTGCTTGTTTAACTGTCCTGTAAGCAGGTGTTTTACCTTGTCTTTGGGACCCAGGTTCTCCTACACCCACAAAGAGTTATTAATTTTGTGCAATATATATGGCAGAATGACATTTTGTATTTTATTTTGTTTTAATAAAAAAAAAAAAATCAAAGGTCCTCTTTTAAAAAATGTATATGCAGCAATTTATTGGGTCTACATTCTTTCTCGATTTTAATCCCTACTGTTTCTCTCAGATTGGAAACTGGAGCACCTCCGTAGGGTTGATGTCAGCCAGGTAAGACCCAGTGCCTGACACTACAGTAACATTAATCAGTGTCACTAAATGTACAGTGTATGCAGAACATAAGAACAGGTAAAGTGAAATCTTTTTATTGTTGTTTTCTGCAGGCTGACATTGCTCCCCTCATGGCTTCTCTCATTGGTGTTCCCATTCCTGTCAACTCAGTTGTAAGTTCAGAGATAATCTAGGCAAAGTAATATATTCTATTTATTTAATTTATAAAATTATATATAACTGTTCCATGCATTACCCAAGTTGTCAAAAATTGATTTTGTATATTTCCGTGACATTTGTTCACTTAACAATGTTTTCTATAAATCTTCCTCCACAGTTTTTAATGACTTTATGTTCATCTTTATGTGTATTTGTGTTTCCTCAGGGTGTGTTACCTCTTCTCTATCTCAACAACAGTGACCTGTTCAAGGCAGAGAGCATGTACACCAATGCTATTCAAGTACTAGAGCAGTTCAAGGTATGACAACACGCATCTCTGCTATTACTGACATGCTGGTCATTAACTTTTGGTAACTTCCTACCTCTATACACCATGCCACTTTAAGTTATAAATTATGTTGATGCACATGAAAGGTAACACAATAATTAAGTTATTTAAAACTATGGTGACTGGTGATTGAGCTATATATGTCTATATTTTTTTTTTTGAAGATGAAAATGACCCAAAAAAAGGAGACAACCTTGTCTTTTCTCTTCACCCCATACCAGTAAGTATAATAAGTGAATTCATTACTTGTTCTAACAAGAAGTGAGTTAATAATGTGAATTTACTTTTCATCACAACATGTTTACCAAGAGCTCATATCAGGCTCCTTTTATATGATGTACGAGGTGTGGGGAGAGTAGATTAAAAATCCATATGAGAAAGAATATTAACCCAATGGCAGTAACTGAGAAAAATTTTTCAAATTTTGTATTGCTGGCCTATGCAAATATTAAGCCAGACGATGCATTGTTTATATTACCCTTTGTGTTGTGTAAGTATGAAGGTAAGTGATGCGCACTAGTCATTGTATTTACTGTAAGACCACATTTAAATGCAATTTCACGCACTCATCTTTATTGCTTTGCTTCTTTTTTTTTCCCAGACTACTGACTGAGTCAAAACAAGCAGAATTCATCCACAAGGCCAGAATACTGATTCAGCTGGAGAAGTATGAAGATGCTGTAAGTATCAGGGAAAAGACAGTCTTGTCTTAGACTGTAGGTAAATTAGCAGCTGTAGATGCTGAATTGAATTGAATTTTATGCATTAAGCTAAGTGTTTAAACCTGCTGTTTATGTATAACATATTACAAACAACACACTTGAGCTGTGCTTGAGTGTAATAATCAGCTGATAGTACAGTAAGAAGTTGGGTTAAGAAGTCATTGTTGTGACCGACACCACTAGAACCAGCTAAGCGGTGGTGAATGCTGTCTTCATTAACAAAGCTACATGTACAGTATGTCTGCCTTTTTTGGGTTTTGAATGATCACTTTCCTCCCTAGTTTCTTTTTTGTGACTTTACATTACTTGCTGAACAATCTTTCCAATTTCTCTATGCTTTTGCTAAAGCATTACCTTTCATTTCCCCTCGTCTGTTTCTTATCAGATCTCTCTGTGCCAGTCTCTGATATCCCGTTCCCTGGAGGGCCTGGTTTACTACCATACCTATGACAGGTTCTTCCTGGGTTGCAGTGTGGTGCTGGGATTTGTAGGCTGGACCTCATATGTTGTTTTAGTCATACTGAAGACTCATGCCAGCCTCAACAGACATCCCAGTGTCCTCAAACAGGTCAGGGCATACACTATATTCCCTGTTTCTTTGCCGTTTAGGATTTCTTCCACCAAAACATACTTTATTTAATGTCTTGTTAAGTTATATATTGGTAATGTTCCTGTGTGTTTACATTTGCAGACTCCCAGCCATACCCTGGCGAGGCTGTGTATGTGTGTGACAGTGGTGATCACTGTGTTCCTGCTTATCCAAAGGAGCCCTGCTACCTACTACATTTACTGCCTGCTGCCTGTCCCTGTATGGTACTCTGTCCTTAAAGAGTGAGTCATTCACAAATTCAAGAAACATCTGTGCACATACATTACAATCTAATCATATATGTGTGTTGTGCCTGTATGTTCTCAGAGAGCGATGGAGCAAACACCACACTCACATACAGGATGTCAGCAAATATCAAAACATATCAATGGAGATCACAGCAATCAATGAATATAGTACTTCTATGGTGGCTCTAATTTAGCACACACATACTTGTTCATGCATGTCCTGCACAGCTGTAGTGAGATGTTAATTACATCCTTGATCCTTTGGTGTTGTATCCATTCATGGTTCTCCTGTGTAAATGGATGAAAGGATGATATTTTCAGTTTTCTTTCTTTTCTCTGTGTTATCACAGGAAGAATAATCTCATTAATGATCCATTTTAGGTCTGGAACACTAACAGATTTGATTCAATCTGCTCCCTCTCTTCCACTGTGGAAATGTTTCGGCTATTTTGTGCTGGTGGCATTTGGAATCGAGCTACTGGTAGGTGTCTTTAATGTCTTTTAATGTATAATTAGAGGCATATTTTTGGTATACAGCATTACTTATAAGCCTTCAGCTGACCTCCAAATACAGTACACATCACAATGTATAGGGCTCACCATGTATAGTATGAGGTTACTTTGTCTTGTGGATGCCAGTTCACCTTTGCTGCCCCCAGGTGGTGAGTTTCTTCTATCGCGCCATGCTGACTGTGGGCCTGACTTTGCTCTCTATCTGGCCCTTCCTGTCGGGACTTTTTGGCAAGGCCAAGGTAACTATGTCACAAGTCATGACTCCAACAGTTCAAGAATGAGTAATACACACTTTGAGATAATGTAAAATGAATAAAAACTTGACAAGTACACACACACCAGGAAATGTTATGGTATTTGAATATTTTGATATCCATAGTTGAAAGGTGATGGCAAATGATGTGTCTCCAGGAAATTTGGAAATAGGTGATGGAGTTTCCTGTAAACACGGCAGCAAATTTTCCTAAATGTATAAGTTTTGACTGATAGATTTCTAGCTACTTCCTGGACAAATTATCTTTTAATCAGTCACCTTTTTATTTATTTATTTTTATTTTTATTTTATTTTCTATTTTACTAGGAAGTCCCATTGAGATAACAAATCTTTTTCAAGAGAGACATGGCCAAGATGGCAGCCATACAAACACACCACATTAAAATACACATAAAACATAAAATACTGCATATTGATCGGGAATGAAAAAGGACACTGACTAAATCTGAGTCTACGTGACACAAATATGTAATAACCTTAATTAATGGATAATGAAATAGAAATAATCAAATTAATTCAAATTGATTCCTTAAATACAGACCATTCTGATCTTTTTGTATCATTTCATTAATGGTTAAACCTATTTCATTATTTCCAAATTTTCTTAATTTTACATTCATAAAGGTCGTTATATGACTTGGCACTTAATCACTTATTCTATGCCCCAGTCCTGAAATCATTTATCTTTTAATTCTTGTCTAGGTAGCTCCATTTGTCTTTAACTGCATTCTAGGAGTTTCAGTAATTTTGTTGAAACATCTGTCAGTATCCATAAGCAAGCCACAAAAAAATTGATCATCACAATCATATGAATAAATTGATTAAATTGTTAAGCGATGAATGAATGAAACAAAATGGTTCGTTGTGTAACTTGCTCATGTCATGGATTTATCATCATTCTACTGTCAGATTAACACCTGGTTTGTTAAATAATGAACTGACATCCAGCCTCTAACTATGAACTTATTGTCTCTGTCCCCGTATAGTTCCGTTCATTGAGCTGGTTTCTGGGCTGCCTATTTTTGTCTCTTTTCCCGCTCATGCCTGTTGTGGGTAGAGAGCCCGACATACATCTGGTGTAAGTGCTTCCTCTGTTGGCTTCACTTTATCAGAAAGTTTATAAAACCTCAAAAGACAGATTCAGGTCATTCAGTTGTATGATCAAATTCAGATAGGGATGGGCAACATGGTTGTAATCAGTATCACTATAATAATCCAAATATTTTGTCCCATATCAATATATGTATATCAAAATGTGGCAAATGTGTGTAAACTCCAATAACTTATTCTGTCAGCTTTAAGTTAGACTTTGCTTTGAACCATTATAAATTTTGTAAAATTATAACAGGGTATGACCAAATCACCTCAATAAATTGACACAGGAGAAATATTACTGGATCTTTATGCAACATAAGTATGTCAAATTAAGCTGTATGTTATGAATATGTGTATAATAATACAGTAACATTTTGTGTGTTTGTTCAGTACCTGTGCAGGTCTACTCACTCTCTTCACTTCACTTTGTTACCTCTGGTCCTCACGACAGAGAACACCACTGCACCTCAGTGACAGACAGCAGTTTGTTACCCAGGTGACTACAGTACATGCCGTTTTGTGTGTGTGTGGTTGTATTACTGAATTTTCTAAAAATAAATGATTACCTGTCAAACTCAACAGATGCTCCATGTGGCAGTGTGTGCATACGTGCCATCCCTCACACACTCCAGTCTGCAGCAAAAACAGGGCCTGCCGCTTGTTAATCAGATCATCAGCTGGACCACATTAGGTAGGTGGGTGTGAGTGAGCACAAGGTACATGAGATTTATCCAAATTCAATACCTTCCTGGGGATTTTGTGGGGAGATTACATCAAATATACTCACGTTATATCATATTTATATATCATTTATGTTCAGTTTTTAAATACTGATCAGATTTTAAGATATAAGTCAAATAATTTTAGTCAGTTAAGTTAAAATGTCAAATCCTGTATGCCGTTATATCTTTAAGTCCCAGCACACATTTCCTTTGTCTTCTCTTTTCTCAGGATCTTCTATGCTGGTTCCATTGTTGAGCTCTACACGTCTTTTCCATCGCCTCCTTAGCATATTCCTCTCTCTCACAGCCACATACCTACTGCTCAGCACTGGGTAAGACATGATAGTACACACACACACACACACACACATCATGCAGCTGCCCCAACACTTCAAATCATGTCGCGGTTGAGTTTTATCATCACAGCACAGCTAAAAAAAAAATGTCTAATGAGTATACCCTCTCCTACCTAGGTCAGAGGCCTTGTTCCCCCCTGTGTTATCTTGGTTGATGTTTGTGTGGATCAACATTGAACAGGAAGCTATGCTTGCTCAGGGTGTCTCTGGCAGACAAGAGGTAGAACCATTATGCGTATGTTTCCAAACTTTGTAGAGCAGCGTAAATGACATGACAAAATAAGAGGAAAATTTCTTGTATCAAATTTAAATCTCACCCATTGCTACTTTATACACAAACTGGTTACTTACTTACAACCTGTGATTCAAAGTGGCCATTGTTATCAGGAATATACAATAGCAACAACCACATTTTCTTCAAACATAACATAGTGTGATCTGTGAAGTGACTTTACATAAAGCTCTACATAATGTATGTAAGGTCTCAGATCATAATTATGTGTTTGGGTGTGCATATACATGCGTGTGAATGCTTCTCTTTGTTTTTTTTTTTTCTTTCAGCTCTCCACTATTGATTTCTCTGCAAACATTGACATTGCCAAGATCCGACAACTGAAGTTGGATGACATCAGAAGATCTTATTTTTTTGTATCCATGTTAGAGTATTAGCAACAGTAACATTGCCTATAATTACAAATAATGAACTGATGAGTTTAACATTGCTTTAGCTCTTTCCTTGACCATACATTCTCTTCAGGTGTTTTTTATAATAACAGCTTTCTTTGGCACAGGAAACATAGCCTCCATTAACAGGTACGTATGTGTGTGTGGTTTCTGTAGAAAATGGAAGCAAGCATTTTTTTTTTTTTTTTTTTGTGGTTCAGTTATGGGTGAAGTTAATGTCTGGTATAAAATTAGTTATCTGTGAAAACACAGCAGTGACTCATACTGTCTGGGTTTTATTTGCATTGTTTTGAACAGCTAGTCTTTTGAGTAGTGTGTGCCTTTTTATGTGAGATCTTTTTACATTGCACCACGTACAGTATGTCAGTCTTTACTGTAAAACACCAAAGGATCATCAAGAAATCTATCCCCTAGATAAGTGTTTGCATGTGTGCTTTGCATGATTAAAGAGTCTGGTACTTCTGGTAAATTCGTCTGCAGTCATTACCTCTGTTTCCTTCTCCTTTTTACCTAGTTTTGACCCAGCATCGGTTTATTGTTTCCTGACTGTCTTCAACCCCTTCATCATGGGAGGACTGATGATGTGGAAGGTACCATACTAGTATCTAGTAGCATAATCTGTTCATACATTTACTTTGGAAATATGCTTACAATACACAGCATAGATGAGCAACCCCCCTCTGAACATAAAGAATTTTTTTTTTCCTAAATACTTTACTTTTTTCTTTGGAACTCCTAATCTTGCATCATGTTCAGTTTTAATTTTTTTAATAGTGTAGTCTCTAATCTTAGTGGTGAAAATTTTCTTTCTGTTTTTGCTTCTCCTTCTTCCTGTTTTCTCTGACTATACATTGGCTAATAATGAGAGGGTTGCTGATTCATGTAACGATACGTAGAGAGGGTAGGTGTAATAAGCTTATCTTCAGTCTACACCTTCTCAGCCAGTATTGTTACATTTTTCTGCGCAATGAAATGATTCTCTGTCTCAAATTTCCAGACAAGTCTCTCCCATGTGGTTGTCAGCATTAGGTCTGAGTGTGATTCAGTGGGTTAAGTACCTCTTTAATTGTCAACCAGTTACAACTGTTTGAGTGAGGGGGTTCAACAGACTCATCTGGTGATCGTTTGCCCTTAAGCGAGAATTTTATTCTGTGTTATTATGTAATGTACTCATTTTTGCAACCTGGCCTTTTACCATTTTGACAAGAAAATCATATTTTTTCTCAATGATATATTGACATATATCTTTGGTTACTGATAAAAGAGAGTTACAGGAACATTGCATCATAGGATCATCATCATAGGAATCCAAAATGTGTTTTATTTCTAAAGAGAAATCATAGGATTTGTTAGGTATAAGAGAGGGTGTGCTCATTTATTCTGTATGCTATAAATATGTTTTAACCTTCTTCCCTTGTTGTCTTATTTTGACTCTCTGCAGCCATGACATGTGCTTTGTCATAGACTGAAAAAAAATATTAACAGCATCATTCTCAATAATTAAATTTGTCTGGACTTTCTAATGAAATCTTCAATTTTCTTAAATTGCCTTCCTTTGATCTTTCAGGTTATCATTCCATTCATAATAGTAATGTGCACATTTGAGACCATCCAGGTTGCAACACAGCTTTCATCAAGAAGGTAAACTCTCTGCTGCCTTTAAACAGACACTACCCAACAGAAGGATGTGTTTCCACTTGTCACACTGTACACATTTTTTTTATCTGATGCAGCCATTTGCATTTTAGACTGACCGCAAAAAGTTTATTTTCTGTGGTTCGTTGTGTGTGAAGAGGGTGTACATCTACTGTCCATGCTGTACATAAAGTAAATATGCTTTGTTGAGGATGTTAATTACAACAAGTTACTTGCTTTCCTTCCATCTTTCATTTATCTTTTTATCATTCTCTTCCAGTTTGTTCCTCATAGTCCTGGTCATCTCTGACTTGATGGCTCTGGTAAGACATTTCTCATCAGTTTCAAATGTGTTGTGTGAATGGTGGATTAAAGATACAGATGATGTTCTTTCTCAAACATTTATTCTGCCCTACCTTTTCCTTTTGTGTAGACCGAATGTGAACCTCAGACAATAATTAACTTAAACTCACTCTTCCTTTCCTCAGCACTTTTTCTTCCTGGTGCAGGACTACGGCAGCTGGTTGGACATTGGCACAAGGCAAGTTAACTGAAAAATACATGGTTTCTAAGTCTTAATTAATAACTTGACTCACATACACACATTTTCCCTCCTCCCTCGTGCTTTCTTTCAGTCACTGTTTTATTGGAATACACTTACACATAAACATGTTAAACTTATTTCTTTGTCTCTTACAGCATTAGCCACTATGTGATAGTGATGTCGATGACCATCTTCCTGATGTTGCTAAGTGTGGTCACACACATACTCACCTCACAAAGACTTATCCTGTGGAGGAGACCCAAATTGCACTTCCCCTAAACAAACATGTGCATTTATGGTGTCATTGACTTTTCTTTTTTTTTTTTTTTTTTAGATACTTTTCCTTTGGCTTTTGTTTCATTAAACCAAAGTTTATTTATATAAGATATGGGATATTGTTTTTCGTACTCTATATAATCTACAGTACAGTGCAAAACTCTTACACCACTTTGCTGAATTTTTTGGAGTTTTAGAAATCCCCTCTTACATTTCCTTATTCCTCATAATAATGATTGTTTGTTTATACATCAATTATAATGTGGTTTCAAGCTATAAATAATTAATCAACTCGTATTGCTTAGATAGATGGTTTTAATAGAACATGTTGCAGAGTGGCCTAAGACTTTTGCACAGTACTGTTTGCACTGTATTCTTTTGTACACTCAGTCTGTGTTTTAAGCACATTGTTTTTGCATTAATCATTGATGAACTGACTCACACTACTTGAATATTTGACTGTGAATTATGTCTTTGCCAGCAGTGCTGATTTATGATCCACTAAAAAAGGGTAACTTGATAACTTGCTAACCATGTAACACTACTTCCTCTAAAGCTGCCTAAAACATATCCTTGTTCATAAGAAAATTAGACCTTATTTCAATTTATTGTGATGAGGCATGTACCAATAAAACTGAAGGAGTGCACTGGAAACATGAATGTTCATAAAGAGGCATCCAATAAAAACAAAAGTGAGTACACCCCTGGTCAGTATCCCTGAAATGTAATTACAAATCTCCATTGAATAGAGTTTCATTTGTTTTTAGCTAAAGCACAAGTAGAAATAAGCCAATTTATTCAAAAACAAAAGTTTGACCAATTATACTGTAATGAAAGTGCAACAAAAGTCAGTGCATCCCTCATTAGTGAGGTTCTATTATTTTTATTTTTATTTTTATTTTATTTTTATTTTTATTTTTATTTTTATTTTTATTTATTTATTTATTTTTTTTATTTTTTTTATTTTTTTTATTTTGATTTGATCCTCCTGAGCATGGATGATACCAGTCTTGCACAAATCCATGGAGAGATGTTCGGCCATTCTTCACAAATTATTCTTTTCAGCTGCTCTTTGGGGTTAGGGGTTTAAAATACTTCAGTGGTGCTGTATTGGATTTAGGTCGAGGGACATACTTGGCCACGTCATTGGTTCTACTTTTTTCGTCTTTAAGAACTCTCTCTCAGATTTTTGCATTGTGTTTGGAATCATTGTCACACTGGAAAGTTCTTCTCAAGCCTTTTTGGACAGGAAGTCATCTTTTGCCAGTCTGTTTTTTAATGCAAGGTTACATAAATAGCTAATTGGTGTGGCATCATTTTTCAAGGACTGCCATTGCCCCTTCTATTATTGGTAGTATGGTTTTTCCTGTATCTCCTAACTACGGCTGCAATTGTGTTTCAGCTTGTGTTCAGTAGCCCACACTCATGCACTTGTAGCCTCCCCCATCTTTATAATGTCTCACAACCTGTTTTTATTTTTTACATGTTCCGGCAGTTCCTTATAATGTGGCGCCATGGTGCATTAGACACAACCCAGGCCAAAATTGAAGAAGTTGTGATGTTGACTGGTTATTTATAATCTTGTAAATGTAATGAGCAAGGTTGCTTTTAGGTTTTACTCTGGGGCCTGTATTTTCAGTGTAGTCTATCCAACCTGTTAGTTTTAATTATACATTAGATCAAATACCTTACACTTCAGATTAGAAATAATACAGTGACAAAATGGCATAATTTTGAATCATTTTACATTTTTGTGGTATTGCACAGGGGTCACTTACAAAACTAAACCAGGTGCCAGTGTAGTTGTCGTGCCCTATGTTTGTACATAAAGTACAAACATATAAACATAGTATGCATATATATATATATATATATATATACACACACACACCTTTTGATTGGTATATATTGGTATATACATGTTCATTGACATTAATATTTAGTTATGGGCTTCTGCAGGGAATCCATTGTGTGGTGCTGTTTGTATGAATTGCTTCAAGAAATGCACTTACCGTTTTGAAAATGTTTGGCATGATTTGAGAAATGTACTAAAATGACTGAGAAAAAACTTTAACACATCTGTCAACAACAACAGCCAGCATCACCACATCCTCTCTCACTTCCTCTCTTTTGAATACTTAAATGGTGTGAGTATATAGTGAACACTATTGGCTGGCCATTCTTATGTAGCAACATCACAGTACTTAGATACTTAAGATATCAATAGTTTTCTTCAGTAAATGCTTATTACTGTATTTTAAACTTATCAAGATTTAGGTTTTCACTGAACACATAATGGCAGCGGTTATTTGAATGTTATCCAAACAATTCACATGACAAGATGTATGAAATAGTTAAATGAACAAGGTGATTACACGAAAAAGCTAAACTTTTTATTTGGGTTCCAAGCTAAAATTCTGAAGACACTGTATGTGTTGGCAGTGATCTATATCTGTCAAAACTGCATGTTTTTTCTTTCTTGGATGGCAGATTCTATAATGGGAGACTACTTCATTGTTTAATTATGCTGCTTAGTCCTGGCAATACCATGGAATATATGTAAAGGGTAATCTGTAATGGTAAACCTAATAAGCCTAATGATGTACTGTATATATCTGTACTCATGCACCCAACCACCCCTTTCCTCTAAACAACATTCACTCTGTACAGTCCCACTTTCTAATGCTCTACATTGTGGATACAAAATAACAGCCATTTGCAGTGGAGACCAGAAGGAGGAAGCAGCTAGCTCTGTGGTTGTGCTTGACATGTGTGTGCAATAACCTCCTGTTTCTGACAGAGCACACAATATGCAAAACTGTACTGTGGTTTCTGACAACACACACACAAATGAACAAATACATTTAATTTTCACAACCTTAACTTCCACAGTTGGCACACATTTCACACTTGATCTCATACAGACACGCACACACACACAAAGAAGCATATGCTACGAAGCAGAGGCGGACACACAGACATTCTTTTGACGGATAGAGAGCTTTTCCCATGCTCATCGACACACCATGAAAACAACTGTTGCTTTGATGGCGATAATGTGGTGAAATTTAGAAGACATAATTTCTTATTTTCACACACAAGAACACTCAGCAGCCACTTCTTCTTTTGACTAAAAGGTAAGTAAGTTTACTGGTAAACTCTAGTTTTGACTTAGTGTTTATTCATGATGCTATTTCCATTGCAGTGTTGCTCTCTTGGTAATAAATAAACGGTGAACAATTCTAAACTGCACAGTATTTAAACACCGTAATTTTTCATTTCAGTTAGACTGACTTAGGTGCTTGGTGTATGACATAGGAGTTTGTTTTTAGTACTGTTTCCTGATAACCTAAAACTGTAACCACTGTAAGATATTCGTAACAGCATATCAGGCTAAAATTATATTCTGGTTAATGTCTTCATAGATAATGAACAACATGTATCTCTATAGTATGTAACTACAATGTGGTGTGTAAGAGTCAAAAATAAGTAAAATCAGCCAGGTTTTACTGATGTGTATGTTCTCTTCCTCTGTCATTTCTGTATTTGTGTTGTGCGTTTCTATTTAAAAAAAAAAAACCTTCTCCTGATCTGTTCATCCCACATTATCTTTAATTCTTCTTCCATTTCTCCCCTTTTCTCTCACACTCTCATATCTGATGTTCCCTGTCTCTCTTGCTTCTTTTCTTTCTCTATTTAGGATGAATACCACAGTAGCCCAGAACACGCTATCCACAGCCATAAACTCCTCAACTCAATCTTCAAATACTAAGCTTCCTCCTGAGTACCACATGATCCTCCTGGGCATCTACTCTGTGGTTTTGGTTAGTGGTACTATCAGCCTGAGCCTGATGATGCACATCTTGAAGTCCAGCTCTACATCCAGCACCTCCATTGCTGTACTCAACCTCATCTTCGCCCACTTCATCTTTCTCATCACTGTGCCCTTCAGAATTTACTATCACGTGGCTCAAAAGTGGTACCTCGGTAAGGGGCTTTGTAAAGTGATCAGCGGCATGATCCACATCCACATGTACATGTCTTTTATCTTCTATGTGATCATCCTCATCACGCGCCTGATGACATTCTACCACAAAGCTGGACAGCTGGCCTCTTTCCAGAGGATTCATGCACTCCTGGTCAGTGCTTTGGTGTGGCTGGTGGTGCTTATCATGGTCCCTTGCATCATCCATTTTTCCTATGGCCAAAAATCCTCAGCAGATGACTATGAATGCTTCCATTTTGGCCCTAGCATACATTCCAGTGCCAAGGTGTTCAATTACATCATAAGCACACTGATCATAGTTGTGGCCACGGTGCTGACAGCCCTCCAAGCCAGTGCCCTTAGGGTTTTATACAGGAAGCATCAGGGATGCACCTCTCAGCAGGACTTTGGGGCTCAACAGAAAAGCTTATGCTTTGCCCTGATCATGGTGGTCTGCTTCATTCCCTACCACGTGTTTCGACTCTATTACGTAGCAAACATTAATAATACGAATGAGAATATCAATGAGGTGTTTCTGAGTCTGACAACATTTAACTGTTTGGACATGCTTACTTTCTTGGGGAGGAGAACCTGCTACGCATGCTTCTTGAGAAAGATTGTTTGTGAGTGAGGGGGTCAAGAGTGTTTATTTACTACTATTTTGTAACTTAATTATACTGAACTGTTCTTTATTGCTTGTCAAAGTTCTGGTGCAGCCCCATAAACATATACATAATGTACACATTTTCAACTGCACATGGGAGCCTTGAGAGCTACATCATATGATCCTAAGTGGCTGTGCACAGAAAACTAAACTTCTATTGTGCTTTTTTTAAGTACCTGTTTTAGCTTATGTCAGTGTGGTAGACGCAGAGTGTGGTGGCTATTTGTTACTCAGTAGACTGCTGATTCTCACCTTAAACTGTGTGTCTGTTAAATATTTAAAGTATTTGACGTGACTGTAAACTGTTCTTTGCTTTAACTCAAAATGAATGAAATAATAAACTCTTGCCATCTGCAGCTTTGAATGTACTACACATGCTTGAAGCTTGAAATTTGTAATGTTAGATCAAGGTTCAGGGTTGATACATGATTTCGTGAGAGAGGCATCATATATTTATATTGTGTTGGCTAACATTTAACTGCTGTGTACATGGCTGTAGTGTGCAGCTTCGTTGCATTGAGAAGAGAAATAAATGTCTAAAATCATTGCTTTTTCACCATTATTTTGTGAAACATTACCTTAAACCTCTTGGATCTCTTACCTTCTGCCCTAAGAGGTGGTGTTAGGGGCCCTGGCTGACATACACACACAAACACACACACCTGGTGATCCTTTTCCTTTTGGTTTTATGGCACTGGGTTACTGTTTAACATCCCCACCCTAGTTTGAGTTTGTTTAGTAAATCGATCTAATGACTGGGCTATGGTGGCGCCATCCAATGTGTTGCTCCATGAATTATAGGCCGCTCAGCTCTTTAACCTTCCCCTTTAATGTTGTGGAACACTTTTACCATTTTCCCATTGTCAGTGTCACTTTAGAGTGATGTCGCACTGAGGGGCTGCTCACTACCGGAGTACAGCGCTACACCTGGATAAATGCACATCCCAGACAGAAACAGAAACAGAAACACAGGTAAGTCAAAATTCTCCTATGAAAGATTATTGACACAAAACATCCACACGCCACTGCTTTTGTGGAGGAGGTAAATCTTACCTTTAGCAGTTTCTAAAGGAAGTTTGGTGACATGTTCTGCTAAATCACGTGGTTTTGTATTTTGGTGGTAATATAGTGGTACTACCCGTTCATACAATTGCTGCTAAATGTCATGTAACCAGAACTGGGGTACCCTTTGATTGTATGATATTTTTTTTTTCTGTGTGTGTGTGTGTGTGTGTGTGTGTGTGTGTGTGTGTGTTTTCAAGTGAGTTTACTGAGATAGTGTTGTACCTTCTCTTTCTGCAGACAATATTTTGTAAAAGTAGATAAGACAGACTCAATTCGTCCTTCATGCTTTGCTGTAAAGCTCATGTGATAACCCATTTCACATTCTGTATGAGGTCGTTATCTGTAACAAGAGCAGTATTAGAGAGCAACAGATTGCTAAGAAGAAAGATGGTAATACAGGCACTACTACTGCACAATACTGCCACCGAAAGTACATAAAATATAAAACAATGCAATCCAACACAGCAACCTGTAAGTTAACTCTAGACTGCAATTGTAAAGTTTTGTTGAGAGTGTGAAAGAGGGATGTTGACTGATTTCCGAGACTGTAGTGTGTGAAGCTGTATTGGACTTCCTCAAATTGTGCAGGAAATCTGAGTTCAACCTGTGCATACTGTTTACAGTCTAAAGACACATAGGCTTTGGAGAAATCACTTAACACAAACAAGTTGCATTTTCAAGGTTGAATGTTGCTGACCAAAGAAGCCGTAAGACTTTTCCTTAGGTGCTGACATCTGCAAGACACATAAAGTAGTTTGACACTCATTAAATGCCTTCAGTGACCAGGGTTTATAAGAAGAAGGTTGGGGAAGTTTGCTAGGCTTGCATGTAACACTAAAATTGAAGGAAACCATCTGCTGTTAAGTGTTGTCGTTCACAAGTTAAATGTATTATTTAAATCATGTTTCTATTCACTTGCATAAATTGTACATCATAGCAGCGGTTCAAGAACTGAACAACATGGCAACAGATAAAAAACAACTATTTGTTAATGATGATTGTTGTACACTTTTAGAAGTGAATAATATTCTTCTGAACTGTATATTTCTTTCTTTTTTTTATTTTTACTATTGCCCCTATATCAGGAAACAGCATTTACTAAAGTAGTCAGTTGGGAGGCTGATCATCATCTGCAACTATTAAAACCTCTAATCTAAATAGAGGTGACAGTATTATGGCCAGTTCACACAGTGATAGCCTCTTAGCACTGGTTTTTATTGCAGCAAAGAGCTTTTGGTTGCTAGGCGGATGCAGTTTGTCGGTTGGGTCCTGCTTGATATTCAGCTGATGCTGAAGTTATAATACCTTTTATTTTAAGTGTTTCTATGAATGCATCATTCAGATATTTCTATATGCATTTTTTTTAATTACTTGTAAGATTTCAAAATAGTGAGCATCTACATTGTGATTTTTCAATATATTAGTGACATGAGCAAAATGAACAGTCCAAGTGAACATAATCTGCATTTCACAGCTTCAGTGTTTGGCGTGCTGTCTCTTAATCCAAATCAGTCAAGAGGAGGGTATGAGTTGTGTTCAAAATGTAGAAAGACAGTGATAAAAGGCACTCATCATTACGGTAATAAATACTTGAATAACAAGGTGGGCTTGTTGTCCTTGCATTCACCAGTTGAGGGTGAGGTAAAAAAGAGCTTTTTAAAGCGACTGACATGTTCACTAATAGCTATGAAGTAAAACGGATTTTTGCTTTTCAGTTAACACAGAATTCTTTCTGATATTGGGCCTGTCTCTAAGCCTTAAAGTAGAATGGATCTTGCTTTCTTCTTGTTTGTTAAACCCAGCTGTATTACATGATTGTCTCTTAGAAAACCACTCAATTAATGTGTATGTAGTATACACTGTATTTTCATAACCTAATTAGATCTAGTACATTCATGCTAGAGCGCTCTGTGTCAGACCTTTTGCTTTTTACATGATTGTGAATGTGATTGTAAAGAATAAATTCTTCACTTTCCACAAACCTGATGAGTCAGGAGGCTAGATCTCACTGCCTAGTTAAAATGTAAACTCTCTCTCTCTCTCTCTCTCTCTCTCTCTCTCTCTCACTCTCATTACTCTCTCTTAACCCCTATATTCCAGCCTCTCCTGTTTTAGCTAATATGTCTGTTATTACACTGTTACTGGATACTAAATGCTCTATCTCTTAAAATCCACTGAATAAGCCATGATAATGTGCATTCTGATATACTGTGTCTACAGTGGCAATATGTTTTCCTCATGCCTGCTCATATACTGTAGGTGCTTTTCTCAGTGGACCACTCATTACTGGTGTAGGGCATCAAATCTCCTGTAATACTACCTCTTATCATTTACAGCCTTCTCTAACACATTGCCCCAAACAGATTAACTTTAAGCCACACAATAAGATTTAGTGCAGTGAAACTCCTGATGGAAAATGGGTGGGTTGGGACATTTTAACAGGTTTATGGTAGTAAATTTAAGTGTGTTCATAGCATTCCTGCCCTGACAGCGTAGGCAGCTCACTGCCAACTGGTTTTGATTTCCACTTTTGATGTTGTCTGATTCTCCTCCACATACATCTCATAGGAAAACATTTCTGTTTTTAAAGTAAGGGAGTTGAAATAATTTTAAGTATAAAATAATTTTAAAATCCTGTTACATGCTTAATAGTCTGTTTTATTATATTTCCACTATTTTTACATTGTAGAATAGTCTCATAATTCTTAAAGGAAAAGAACAAACACGCTGAATGTATCCTGACTGAAAATTCTCATTCATCATAAGCAACAATACAAATGCCAACACAGACAGTGACAGCATAATATCTTCCTTGGTTTCATGGAAGTAAAACTACAATAACCACTGTATCTAAATAAAATTCATCCCATGGTAATATGCAGTAAAACTAACGTTTTATGAACAAAGGGTGGGATGTAAACCCAAGAAGTGTGTTTGTGGAAGAGTTAATGGAAGTTATCAGTGTTTTCCACTTCACTTTGTGTCTTTATAGATTATATCTGCTGAGGTGGTGGTGCCATTACTCCACTATTGATTAGATTAGGAAGCCTGAGAGGGACAAACACACACACACACACACACACACACACACACACACACACACACACACATTCATAAATGTTTGTGCCTGTAAAAACAACTCCCCCACCGTCATGCATGCAGATACAAATACACAGAAGCTCACTAACATGCACATAAAGTGCAAGCTGTAATTTGAAATCTTATGGAATCTATCTCATGGTAAAAAAAAGAGATAGAAAGAAAAGAGGCAGAGGGGGAGAGGGGAAATTACTCTTTGCCACTATCTATCCATCCTGGTGATAAGTGTGAGGGAGAAGGACAGATAAGTAATGTGTAATAAAGTGAGAAGTCTTAGCCACAACTCCTCCCCTCTCTTTGTTCCTGGCCCAATCGGATAGGATTATAGATGTTTTATGCCAGGGATCTCCCTTGTCATGTCTGTATGAATTAGATGAAGCAGAGACAAGAATATAGGAAGAGAGAAAGACTTTAGAGTGAGCTGGGAGGAGAATAAGAGAGAAAAGAGGAGAAGAAGAGAAAGGTGTGAGGAACACGGGGTTGAAACGGGAATGAAGTGTCCTCCTGCTCCTCAGAGTAAATCTCTGTTAGATATGGAAGTAGCCAACTACTGTGAAGGCCTGGATCCCTCATACAGCACACTGGGCTTTGAGAATGCAGAGGTGCTCTGTGGAGGAGGAGGTAAGTGTAAGTGCATACAGACACCTACACACACAAACACATAGAGAAGACACACAAACCCATGTGAAAACGCAAATAAGAAAAATACATATCGACATCAATGGGAGTACAAAAACAGCAGGTGCATTTGGCTTGACATATGCACATACAGGATGACTGTGTTTAAATAAAACAAATGCAAGTAAATGTAAGTATACACACACAACACCCATACTGAGACTAGATTTATCGCAAAACATTTAAGTGGAGTGAAGATTTATATTTTCTAAAGCAACTCTCATCTATACCTGCCTGCTAATTTACAATACGTTGAAATTAAGGCCATTATAAAGCTTCGACCTAATATAATAATTTTAACCAGCTTTTGTGGAACTTTTTGT